GTTTTCGTTTCTGTGCAGGAATGTTTTACCTGTGAGATCAGAGTTGAACCACGCGAGGCAAGGAGGAGCCGCACAGCCTGGCCGCTGGGTTTTCGAATGCCGCTGCTGGCTGACAGACCTTTGTTGGTGACCAGTTAGCTCAGGTCAGTCCGTCACGCTTTGCTTCGGAGTGGCTGGATTGACTCTCAAGGACACCAGAAAAAAACTTCTTTTTGTCCTGATATTCTCCAGCTTGAGTACTTTTGACGTGACCCTAACCAGCAACCCACAAGTAACGTCCAGTCTTCCTGACAAATCAAAATGTGATAGAAAAAAAGGGGGGTGTGGAAATCTGCTTCCAAGTAGGTGCAAGACAAAGGTCTGCTGCATTTGTTTACAACAATCCCAGACAGGTGGTGTACATGGGTTCAGGTATTTTTCTGAGGCAGCACTCGACAAGTTAACTTGCTCCATGCCCTCTGCTGCTGTTGCTGTTCCCATCTCTCCTCCTTAAACCACACATACGTGTCTTCCAATTCTGGAAGCTGCCTCAGCTCCTGTCTTAGCGTTGCTAATGTCCAGCCGGCAGCAGGGTGCCCAAATTTAGGAGTTCCTTCATCACAGCCAGCCCAGCGCTACAGTTCTCGAGCAGCAACACCTTCCCAGACGCTTGCTAAACTGACAGACTCTCCCCACATCTTCTTGGTGGGAGACGCAAGCAACCCCGTGGGTTTTTGTCTTCCTGAGTACCCTTCCTATTTAACTGTTGGACAAGCCGCGTTATTTCAAATGTTTCCTGCATCTGAAAATGTTTTCGCAAGCCATAAATCAGACAACGTACTGTTTACTTGACTGTTTTAACCTGGACAACGTTAAACTGACAATTGTTAGAATTGTACCTTGGTCTCTTTTAAGCTGTCCTCTCACTTAGGACTTTTCTTGCCTCCCACTATTTTATGCCTTAAGTCCAGGAGAAGTAAACAATCCGTTTCCAGTCAGTCTGATACATGGTACCGGGCTTCGCTTAAGTAAGAAAGGCTAATTACATCCTGCTGTAATTTATACCAAACGTACCAGCGTTCCAACCATCAACAAGATTCTGCCCAATATAAATATTTGTATCTCTGACTCTTTAAAAGTCATAACTATGCTGTGGGGGGAAAAAGAGACAGAATGTGTTGATGCTTCAATTCATCTACATTTGCACTGCTGTGGACAATTTTACAAGAACTGTAATTCGGGACAGGGATTCAAGCTGGCCTCTACATAAACCTTCGAGGACACCTTCCCTATGCCTCATTTCACCTCTGTGTCACACAGAGCCATGGGACGTAGCAGTTAAATCCCATGTCCTGAGTATCAGATACGTGCTCCAGTTTATTTGTCCAAACAAGTTTTCGGAAATACCGTGACGCCAGGGAGGATTTGCGGGACTGAAGGTTGCAACCAAACACAATTTTTTTTTAAAGTCTATTTTTAAGTGAACAGTGTACCTGATAGTATAGAACGGTGACTTCCTTGATCAGCGCTCCTGTGACAACAGCGTACTTTAATTTAGACTGCGGAGCACCCTGGTTTTGCCTGATTCCAGCTTGGATTGCCCGCTGTAAGCTCGCTGCAGCAGCCATCTCTTTCCTCAAGCCAATTTTAGCTTCGCCCCTCCTTTATTGGAAGGGGAATAGGGTAATATGCTGTAATTGGTTCTCCATGTTTGCCAAGAGTCTGTTTCCTCTTATCATCCACAATATTTAACATAAGTCTTGTAATAGTTCCAAAAATAATAAAATCTGTCCCAAGAATAAAAATGATAGATCCACGACATGCTGCTTTTTTTGTCATGGTCTTGGGTTTCGTAACATTCTGTTAGTAGTTTTTATTGCCTAATGTTGTGGTTTCTTTCATACGCAGCAGACCCAGTAAAGACATTTCATCAGCTACTTACACAGCAGCAGCCTGGATTATTTACAAATGGAGATTTCACTACCGTATTAAAATAAATCACCACTGCATACCGTTAAAGTTACATCGCAGAAATACAGCAGAAGAAAACCCCGAGGTTCTTAGGGGGAGGAACATTAAGTATATACAAGTCCTAAGTATGGTATCAGCAAGCAAATTTATTAAGATATCCAAATAAACCCCGTTGGTCTTCCTCCTCCTCCTCCCCTATCTCCTCCCATGCAACAGTGGAAGAGGAACAGGCAAATTATCTCCCCGCCCCCACACAAAACAGGGCGCGCAGTACCCGTAACAGAACCCATGCAATGCTTTCCTCATGGTTTTGTATCACGCAGCAAGACCACATGTCCCTCTCTCCCCCTGCCCCACCCTTCCATCCCCAAAGCAAACGCCCCCGTATTGGGCAAATTCCCTTAAGGGCAACGAATGCGGAGCGGCAAAGGTGGAGAGCGGTGCTTTGCTCACCGGATTCAGTTTGAGTGAAAGAATTACCAGAACAGACAAGACAGGCAGGAGACAATACACAAGAGAGACTTGATTGGGGGGGAGTATGAACCCCACAAAACAAAACAAAAAACCCTAAGAAGAAAGCTGTAGGACAATCAGTAGTGCCAAAAGAACAGTCCCTCGAGAGGAATCGCCATCTCGGGCCTCAGCAACACCCCACTGGTAACAACGCAGGCACACTGGGGTGCCCTCATTTAGAATGATTACTTTAAATAAATAAATTAAAAAAAAATCCCTTAATACCAAAAATTGTCTTACGATACTTCTAGGGGGTTTTAATACACATTTTTCTACTCAGATTCAGCTTAACTGTAGCTTAAGAGCCTGGTAAGAGGCTTCCCTTTCTTCCCAAGACGAGATGCAGCGCTCTAATGCTCACAGGTAAACTCTCAAGGCAGAAGTAACTTCTCCACCTTAAACGTATGCCACTCAGCCTAAAACTCATCTGCGCCCTTCTGCCCGCCCCCCGTACAGAAGGGCAGCTGCAGCTGAAGGCTCTTGGTCAGCAGCACACCGAACCGAGCGTCACAGAAAGCCTAACGCAGCAGAAAGGAGGTGCCTCCGGAGCAGGGCACGGAGCACTCGTCTCCTGCAAGGGGCTTCGGGCAGCCCCCTCGTGATTTTAGCTTACCAGCAAGCGTTCTAGCAGTCACTTACCAGAAGTCACTGCCACGTAAATCAAGAGTGACTGAAGTCAACAGAAACACACAGGTAAAAGGCTGAGGGGCAGCGTTAATCTTTCTTAAATGACTGCCAAAATTCCCAGAGCTTCTCGTTTTAAGCAGAAGTAAGAGAGACAAGTCTTAAAATCGCACTTAAAGGATTTGTCACTCCAAATTCACTCTTTTGTTAGTTAACTATGGTTTTTACCATATGCTAAACAGGGAGTGCAGGGAAACCGCGCTGTGGTATGATTTTTCAGTATCGATGGCAGTCTTGCGTTACGTATAACAGCTGTACAAGTTTTGCTGGGGAATAATTAAATGTTTTAATTCTTTGGTTACGGAAAATGCGAGCAATAAAAGCAACTGGAATTCAACACGGAACCTAGGCAAGTTATCAGTCACTCAAGTACCAGTAAAACTGAACCCTGTGAAAGAATAACCTTGTAAAGCATGTGCCCTAGAAGGAAGCCCCGCGGCTAGGTTCTGTGCCATATAATTTTTTTCAAATTCTAACAGGATAAAACAGGATCAGTGGCTTCTCAAAAGAACACTAAACCACACAGATTCCTAACTGGCAATGAAACGATTACGTATGCACAACGGTCATGACAAAAAGCCAGGCAGAATGCAAGGCAACTTCAGTTTTGCTCTAGCTCCTCTCTGAAAGTACCAGATTTTTATACAGCGCACAGCGCAAGACTGGCACCTAAGCCAGGACCAACCAGCAGGATCAAAAATTAACGCGCAGACGTGACCACAGTAAGTCACAGTGCATTCCTCCTTCCCGTCATCCCCCAAAACAAGTGCTGGTGGCTCTTTGCTGCCTTAGATTCCTGGTCAATTCTATGCATCTTCCATGCTTTCAAGAAAATGAGTGGCTGTCAGAAGCTTTAGCTTTGTAAACCATCACCACGTAAACCAGCATGCATTTTTGTTCTTCTCAGGACAGGGTACAAATCCCCCTCCTCTGCTCCCTTAACAGGGGCAAATTTTTACGGTTAAGAGAAATTTACTCCCATTTGTAACGCAGCTGAGGCTGCTACAGAAGAGCATGCTTCTCTCTCATCTCAAGCAATCGAGTTCTGCAGTGTTGCCAGTTCCAAAAAAACTAACCAAGCAGTTAATTCAAGCAAGTACCCTTGTCCGTTCATTCCTGC